TTTTTTACCGACGTGCCACCAACCATTTTTTTTACATTAATGCATTTGCCCTCCATGGTATCCTCCTCCAACCCCCAACCCCCTACCCATGTAAATCCATGAGGGTAGGCACGAGGATCGTGTTAGTTTTTCAAAACGTTTTAGTTTTGCAAAACGCTGCAAAAATTTGAGTAAACATTTGAAATCTATTTTAAATATTTTAAATATAACTAGTTTCATGGATTTTATGAGCCAAAATTATTTGATTGTAAACAACAATTGGTTTAAAACAATTACAATGGACCTTTTATACAAACATTTGGGGGCTATGAAATTAGACGATAAGCAAGTTAGATGGATCCAACAAAACGGAATTTAGACGTTCAAGTGTTTTTGCAAAACTAGTATTCTAGATAGAAAGCAAGGGCTAACAAAATTTATTGCTTAAAACAAGTTTTCATAATTACAAAACAGCATATGATCCCATTGCATATCAAAATATTCATCACAATTGATTTATAAAACGTTATTCTCAATATTATAAACAAAATTTGAAATCCATAAATTATACAATGCGGCATGTGAAAATTGCGGATCGTGAAAGTTGGGGCATGTGAAAAGTTTATTTGCGTTTAAGAGAGCTCGAACGAATAATAATTGTAGTCAGTAAACAAATTTCAGACGCGAACAATACAGTTAAGTCTAATTTCCAAAATTTGAATCTTTGCATTGACGTCTATATCTTTTTGTTGGTCACGTCTAATTTGCTTTTCGTCTAATTTCCTGGTCCTCAAAACTTCGATATACTTTTTAAAAAAATATTTTTGATTTATGAAAAGTTTCAATTGAATTTCCCTCAAAATCCATTCTCATGATTCGATAGGTCAAAAAAATTGGTTAAATTTAGTTTTTTTTTGCCAAAAAATTTAATTAAAATTGATTATTTCCAATAAAACTCATGCGGCAATAGACTTACTGGCAGGGTTTCTTGAAAGTTTCAGCCAAATGGTGCAAAATTGTTACTGGCTCTTTAATTTGCTGGCACGAATTATTACATTTTTTTCTGCCTGTGCTAAAAACAATCAATTTGTGGCTAAATTGTAGCTATCACATTCTATTCAATATCTTTATAGTTAGATAGACATTGATCAAGGCATATTTAAACTAGTCATACAAAAAAAAACGAGTTTTTAGCTTCTACGAAAAAAGATTATTCAGAGAAACGGAAAAAAATCCAGTTTACTACGTTACGACTACGTTATGCAGAGAAAAAATTAAAATTTGAATACAAAAAAAACTTATTTTTTGGAAAATGTTTGTTTGAGTACAAGATATGGTTTACGGTGGTCGGAAAAAAAACAAAAAAAACTAAAGTTAGGGCACTTTCACTATTACTTAATTTTAATTATCGCGGTATTTCTTAATTTTCGTTGTCGAAAAACTTTTGTTATAGTCATCAAAAAATTGTCGAAAAACTTTTGTTATAGTCATCAAAAAATTGCTAGGCATACAAATTTCCTATATGGAAATTGTATGATAACCATTTTTTCCCAAAAAAAGAAACATCACTTTTTTTCATCATCAGACTGTTTTATGTGGTTCAAATAGCTGCAGAAACTAGTTCGAATCTTTTTTCAGTTTTTTCGAAATTGTATGACTATCATTTTTTCATACTTTTGATATATGGAATTATATGATAAGCGTTTTCAATGTACCGAACTGTAAGATAAGCATTTTCGTTGTATGGAGGTCAACCCGAGAAGGTTGTTTTCTCGTGACAGTTAAAATTAATGAACGAAAAAAAGTCGTCATTTTTGAAAATTCCTCAAAACAACACAAATCGATCCGAGATTTTTAAACATTCATTGATTTCTGGGTATTACTGGAAAGGCTCCATTCAATGGCCAGGACTAATTTCAAATGTTTCTCTTTGTTTTCTGGTACATCTGACATACCACACATTTTGATAAAGTTTTTAAATTAAGCTACTTTGAAACTTTCGTGTGAACCTTTTGCATGAAAAGATTAGAATTTCTAGCAGAGTTTGAAAGTACGACTAAATTTAACAGCCAAACTTTAAAAAAAAACAGATAAGAGCCATTCAATTTAAACCATGTGCGAATTGGTTGAAATGTCTAAGAGATCAAATAATCAGTGTTCATACCTTATTGACGGAAAAACTTCGCACAAATTTAATTTTTAGATTTTTCAGCCAAAATACACCGGGTATTTCAGCCGAATCAGGCAATGTCCATTTGAGACATCTGAAACAATCTAGATTAGTGGCAAAAACTGATTTGCACGCACTATTTATCTCGTGCAGGATGTTAGTGCAGCAGAACGAATCGGAGCAAGCGTATCCTGTAGGCCAATGCCGTTTGCTATCGTTAAATTTCAGAATTATTGCTGCAATGGTAATTTGGCTTATTTTTCCAATTTGAAGTTGGCTGAAAGTTCTTTGTTCAAAATGTCTTGGCACCCAAATAATCATGTTCCCGTCATTTAGAAATTTGGATAAGTGTCCGGTTAAAAGGTTCTTGTCCAATGTTAATCTAAAATACTGCAGTCTGTAGGAATATAAATCAAACGCCTAGCACAAGTAAATTGACGGATATTTCACTCTAGTGGACAAATTTAAGCGAAATATCATGGTTTTAATTTCTAAAGTGCAAGTTTTCAAGGTCAATTTTTACAATATATATTTTTTTCGAAATTCATCGAAATTTTTATATAGACGAAGAGCAATGTTTTCAATGACTTATCAATGTAATCGGGATCTGAAAACCCCAATTTTCCTCATTTTGAAGCTAATAATCAATCACTTTTGTTCACTAATTTTGATCTAAATTGCGTAAACATAGAGATATTGCTAGGTAATAAAAAATTATTTAATAGGTTGAAATTGATGTGACTTCTCATTTATGACTTTTTAATCATTTAATTTCGGGTGACAGGAACTAACCATTTTCAAATGTGATAACATTTCAGGGGCGGACTTTGGGGGATGCGGGCGGAAGCCACTTCTCTCAGGGATTTGACCCCCTGCCGACCCAAAGGGGGTCCTCCTTTGTACTTTTTTGAGACATCCATTTTTTAGCTGACAGGATCTAAATTTTTTCTAAAAATGACTTTGACGCCAATATTTTTAAAACTCGAAATTTTAATCAAAATTTTTCAAAAAAGCCTACAACGCCTTTTTTAGCCTGTTTCAAAAATTTTATTTATGGCGCAGATTATTTGACAAAAACAGGGTCTTTTTAGTGCTTTGGAAGAGCTCGTAAAATCAGTTTTTGTCAACGAAATTTTAGAAATTTTTTTGAAAATCCCCCATAGATTGAATCCTATAAATCCTAGATCCTTCCCTGTAATATCGGTTAACGAACATGCCAACTAATTTTAGCTAGCACTGGATAAAACTTTACGAGAGCTGACCAGCGTACTCTAATTTTCACATGACAGCTTGATTGCTTCAGAGGAGATTGTTTCAGAAACAGAAAAAGCAGGCACAGAAGTGCTTGCATCGGATGGTATCGGATGATTTTTCCGTTAATCGCAAATGTTCAAATTCTAAAGAGAAAAAAATTATTGTGGTGTGTGATTTAACACAATAACATAACCTGATTAGTTTTTAAATCCCGTCACCTTGATGAGAGCGACTTCGTTTTTACAGCACATTCGTTTTGCTTAAAGTAACTTTTCAAACCAAAAGCAGTGATGGCTAACTGAAAGAAAGAGTTCAAACATCATTCGACTTTTTTCGTTTTAGATGTGTCATCTTTTTCAACAAAAAATAATGTTTGCGCAGCTCTTTGGAGCTAAGTTTGCCACCAGATACTTAAAATTATCGTAACCAAAACATTTCTTTTTGCATATTTTCAAGTAAATTTTCAGCATGCAGCTTCGAAATTTTGTGAATAAGCTGTACGCACTAACTTTTTTTCTTGATTAATTCATTTTTCTCCACCAGTTGTTTACTTCATTTTTCGCCACCAAATTAAAAACGAACAGATGTTTTTTTTTCAACGATTTATTCATCTTGAAATTAACTACAGAAATTAACCAGTTCAAAAGGTAATCGGTAATATTCAATGTTGTAGATTAAAATATTTGCCCCAACAGAAAATGGATAAAAGATTATGTTGAAGCTTTATTACAAAAATCAAAAGAGCCCTAGGTTTTCGACTTTTAATGAAAATACTAGAAAATTTGTTGACTCAGAAGAATTATTTTGTTGACTTCTGAAATCGATCATCAAGAGATGAAAAACTCCCAATAGCTGCATTAAAGTTTTCAACTTCGTACTTACTCAATTTCCCCAGAATATAATTCTTAAATTGAAAATTTAAGAATTATATCTTTTGAAGATGTTGTCAGGTAATTTTTTTAAAATTGATAATTGAAGCAACAAAGGAAAAACCATGAAAAAAAACGTAAGTATTACAGCTGCTGTTGTAATCAATGAAAAGAATTCAGCACAAGTTATTAATTAACTTAAAACTGTAACTTGATTTCTCAAAGCTCGCAAGATTTTTTTCTGCTATTAATGTCAACAAATTTTCTGAGTAAAGGGAAACAAACTAAATAATGCCAAGAATCGTTAATTTTTTTCAATGCTTTTCCGTTTTCTGAACATTTTGACTCGATAAATCTTAACCTCAGTTTTCGTTACCAGCTTCCGACTTTCACTTACCGAAAATGAAATTAATTTAAACTAGGGGCTTTTTTGACAATTAAAATTAGCCAAATGGTCTGGTGAACCAATCTTTTCAAATAGGGATTTTTAGTTTTTGCACAAATTGTTTTGCAGAAACATTTTTTCCCATGCGAGGATGCCAACAGCATTTTTTTTCTACGTGTCTCAATTTGTAATTTAATTATCGTAACAAGGAGAAATGTTGAGGTTTTTCTTTTTCGAAAACTTAATAATTTCCTATTGTGTGTACATCTGCCGAAGTATGACGAGCTGATTATTCAATCAGATATAGAGTTGTAAAACTTTCGTGATATTTTAAATTGTGATCTACCAACCAAAAGACATAACTAATCTTTTGAGCTTTTTTCTAGTTCAAATATCCCCCTCCCCAGTGTTTTGATGGTGTTTTAAACAATCAAATTTGATGCATTAACTGGAAAAACATTGCAAATCCAATTTTGTCCGAGACACAGCACGTTGAACTTGAACCAATCAAAATTGAGTTCTTTCCGTAATTCGCTGATTTCAAATGAAATCACAGTGTTTCCTGCATGAAGCAAAGGAAGCATGAAGTTTGCCCTTGGATCACCTCCATAGATTTTGAGTTCACGTTGGTCTGATCCGAAACTGATTTCAAATATCACGTTCAAGCATAAGTCGACATCAAATCGCACCTGAAATGCATGAACCAGAAAATCGGATAATTTGCCATCTGATATACTTAACTGTAATTTTCTAGAAAAAAGTAGTGGTTTCTTTTTTAAGCAACAGATTTGCATGTGAAGTCTTTAATCAAGGAATTTTGATATCAGGTTTTCATTATGAAAAAAAGTCGTTGTCAAAAACTGTTTGATGATTATATGGACCAAGATAGAATACACCCCTCTTCCTTTACTTGAGAGTGTTCAAGCCTGATACAGCTAGTGAATCGTAAAGGTGAGCTGCTCTAAAGCATAATGTTCGAATATCAACCGAAACAAAACTTGGCTCTTTTCCAGTTCCCCCCCCCCTTTCAAATTCAATTTTGAAAATTCTATTTAAATTTGTCATAATGCAATGAAATTTGGCGTGGTGAACAAATCGACAATTCTGAACAGATTTGTGCTTCATATTTTACAGCGTAACATCACGCGTTTAGCCGTAATAACACGTAAAACAAACATAAAATTCGGTATTTTTGAAAGAGGGGAACTGGAAAAGAGCCCAAAACTTTTGATATATGCAGAAGGTTTAGATGCTTTGTTCGCCTTTTCTAATGAATACACTTTTTCTTCTAAAATTTGATGTTGATTCAGTTTACGATAGTTGGCGAGAGCTCACGTGAGAGATATGAGATGTAAGCGCTCACGTGTCGCTTTTTTACAGATAACGTAGCAGAGGTCTAACCAGAATCGATTTGAATCGATTGAAAATTGATACAGCTTGACTCAAAAAAATAGTTTGAAAATCTAATTTCGGCTCTTTTCCTGTTCTCCTCTTGTTTTTTTTTGAAATTCAATGTAAAAATTTTTATTTAAAAATGATATTTCATGTTATAAATTGCATGAAAACGTTTCAGCGTGAACAAATGAACAACTTTTTCAAACATTTATAACATGCAAACACCGAGTGAACAGTTTTTAAACAGCTTTAATTTGTAATTTTACAAAGGAGTGGCAAATTAGGAAAGAATCCAAAAATGGAGCGATTTTAAATTGGTTCGAAACCAATTTAATATCTCTAGAAACTGATTTGAATCGATTTAAACCATAACATACTTATTTTAAACCATTTTTCTTTAGCTGTAATATACAATTTCTATACAGAACACTTTCAGCATCTCTAGACTATCAAACAATAAAGGAAAGTAGAAAGAAAAGTTCACTTATTCAGTTTTCTTACTCATACCACCTATTGACCTGACTAACAAGTTCCACGTATTCGGCATTGCACTTGAAACTTGTTGATAACAACCCAGGGGATGAACAGGGTCGGTCACACAAACATCGATTGGAGTTTCCCTATCTGCAGCATGAATAAACTCCTATCTGTATCATGAAATGTTTGCGATATTCGAGTAATTGTATAGAAAATACTCAAAGGTAGTGTTGTGCAGTTTAACGGGTTGACGGCGTTTGAGTTAAAACTTAGACGGTGTTTGGCTCAGTAAGTATCAACAAGTTGATTATGGAGTGACACGGGTAACTTTGCACCGACAATAAAAACCATTCATTTTTTATTCCAAAATAACCTACTCGGCGGATTTATTGACGTTACGATAACTTTCGGATAGATTTAGAGGGCGTCGTATAAATTTAGTCAAAGTACCTTTAACCACTCGGAAAAACCTGAGGTCGCCGGAGCTCAAAGTAAACTTTAAGACTGAATTTTCGAATTGATATAGATTAGACTGAAGTTTTCAAGCGTTCCGGTCATTGACGCTACGTTTTGTAAAAAACACATTTGGGAATTTTTGCGTTTTTTGCGTTTTTGATAGCTAGACTTTTACCAGGTTCAAAAGAATTGGGTCCAAAGTCTTGGCCCAAATCTTCACAAAAAATTGTAACGCTCGCTTTTCTTGTAGGTCACAATATTCAGAAAAACCATATTTACATATTGATGATAACAATTTACCAAAAAAGTGGTTCAGTACCTGCAACTGTGTTTTGCCATTATGAGAACTTTGGTAAATATATATAACATCGACAATTTGCATATGGATAGGTGATATACAGTTCAAAGTTGGGACTTTGTGCGAAAAACCATTTATTCGTAGATGTTTTTGACTTATCCGCAGTCCCACGAGACTAATCCCTCCTTGAACCAGAGCGTGATTTTCTTGGCTGCACTGTCTGCGGAGTCACTACCAATGATGGTGGTTAGCTGTTACGTTGAATTCATTTCGTTGATTTGAGTTTTTTGATCGGAACGAATTCTTCCCGAGTCAGGTTACTGCTACGGTTGATTTCCCGGATCGCGGCACAAAAATATGCTGCCTCACGCTTTGTCAGGTTGATTTAAAACTGGGCTTCAAAAATTTTTTTGACAATCAATATGCCGGGTAACGTACGTCTCCGAATTACCAGAAATTAAACAAAACTTTTGCATTTTTCGGTATTACTTCAATCTATAATTTCGATAATCCAACAGCTTTTTTACAGCACTGATACTCAAAAAGCGCGTAAGTGCATTCACAATTTTAGCACATCATGGTTTGACAGACCAAAAGTTGTCAATCAAGGTCGGCTAAGGGGGTTCAAACACAATTACTGTGTGTAAACTTATGTCCCGTTAAGTTCGGCGCATATTTGAGTTTGAGAAAGGAAAGGACCTAGGTAGGATTCCAACCTTCGACGAACCCGCCGAGACGCACCGTGTATACTCTCGGCTACTGCTCCTCTAATATATGCAACCATAGTTCAAACTTGTAGTTACATTTGCTTAGCAACATTTGAGATATTTTAGGACTAGAAAGCTAGTTATTGGTTTCCTATTCGAATCATATTTTTCATAAGAACTCATTTTGTAAAAAAATCTCTCTCGGAATAAACTGTTTTTTTTAAAAAACTGTGTCGAATAAAAACAACGTTTGGTCTGCAATTTTTTCTAAATCAGTTTTCGGGTTGAAATTTGAAATTTATACTTTTTCTCTAAAATACCTTAGTCGTCAGTACAAAAAATTATGAGTTTTTCTCTTGAAAGTTTAAGTATTGTATGCTTTGAAAGCAGGTTCCTGATTTCTGCTTTATGTAATATCTTTAAAAAGAGTTTGTACTCAAAAAGTTTTAATAGTAAAATTATGACTAAGTGATAACTGTGTATCAATTTAACGATCAATCTAATTTTTAGGGCAAACCTATGCCTTTAAAATTTCTCTTTAAGACCACTAAGCTATATATAATCTCATATTATTCATCAAATGCTGGAAACAAAAAATTGCAATTCTATCAATTCCATATGATTGCCTTAATTCGCGATCTTTTCTGTTAGATAATATCTAAAATTATAGTTTTTGTAAAACAAATTTCAGCAAACACTTTTATTTGCTCAAGTTCTCTATATTTTGTAACAAGCTTCAGACTAGTGTTTCTCTTTTACTTCAACTTAAGTCTGGCTCGATTTCTGCTCAACCTGCCATCATCCAATTGAGCCAATTGAGTAAGAGACTTTACCGTAAGAAATCAGTTAAAGTAGAAATTTATGTTTTGAGTGACCGCCTTCATAGCAAAAGCAAAGTTTCTTTTCTAAGAGGGAACAATAACATCAGAAAAACCTTCTCTGAACCAAATAAGAGTAAGTGATTGTTCTGACTTTAACTTTTATTTTTGAAGCAATTGTTCAGACCAGAAAAAAAAACTTTTTTATCTTGACCTGTTTTATGCCAATTTGTCAAAAGAAAAACAAAAGAAAAATTAGTTTTCTTAGAGCATAAGCAACCAAAACAAATCTTCTACACTACATACTTCATGAATCTACTCAAATGCTCTGCTTGAGAAATGAATTGTTTTTTGAGCAAAAAACTTCAATTACTCGATGTCTTTTGAATAAATATTACACGTAACAAGAACTTGCATGCGTGTCAACTAATTTGCTTATACTTTGCTTTCCATTATAAATCTAATCCGACAGAGTTCACACAAGACTGCTACAAGTACATCTCACCTATATTAAGATTTTTTAAATCGGTTTCCATTAAGGTTTTGACGACAGTTTGAACTCGGTTGTTGCTTGCGTTGCTTCCTCCGTCAGTTTTATCCTTTGAACAAAAGTAGCTGTTGTAGTTGTAGCTGTTACAGCAAAAATTTAAGCTGTAGTTGTAATTCTAGCTGCAGTAATAGCAAAAATTGCAGTTGTTTGCAGAATCTTTCTGTATATGCCAATTATCCCCTTTTAGTTTTTTATGATGACTTTCTAAACAATTTTGTTCTCGTTAAGCGCGTCAGTTTTTTTTGGAAGCTGCTCACCGTGTTTCCGAAAACCTTGTAAAATACAGTTTTGACATAATGGGAATCTTCTTTTTGATATGAGTATTCCGTTCCTTGCTGCTGTATGTATGAAAACTACAATTCAGTCAGTTCAAGACTCCACTGGTTTCACGACGTTTTATTGCATTTTGACGTGTATAACATTTGTTACAATCAGGACATGCAAATCTTTTGTTTCTTTCTTTTGGCGAAATCTCAAAAAATAAAAAAGAACTGGGATAGTTTAGGAAATGGGATATTTAGATAAGTTCTATAAATTTCAAAAAAACCGTTTCGCAAATATAATGACTAATTGTTTTCCCTGTGAAAGAAAGCCATACTTTTTCTTGTAGCCAACCAATCAGAATTGCGCTAAACATGTCATTGAAGTTTTAACAGTTTTGCTATCAGCTAACCAGAACATAGCCTTACCTATAATGGGATTTTCATCTATTTTTATGTGAGCCACTTATAATCTAGCTGGATTTTCAGTTGAAACTTTATTCAATTCGAAATCAATCAATCAGAATATAGCGTTCTTTTTTTTGGAAATGCCCAATTGAGTAATTGAGAATGCATTTGAAAAAAAATTCAAACCAAAATAGAGTACCAGCTTTGTTGAAGAAAACGACCGTCTTGTTTTTATGAGTTTTATTTTACCAATCAAAATTTCAAATTATGGAAAAAAAAACAAGAAAAGCAATCAATGAAACAAAAAAAAAGTAAAAAGG